TTTTTATATTATAATAAACAAAATAAATAATAAAAATTAACAAATTATACTATAATAAAAAATAATTGAAATGATTGTTCATTTGAACATCCAAATGACCAATCATTTGTCATTTGTCATTTGAGTCATTTGCCAGTCATAATCATTTGGCGAACACTGATTTTAATAGTTTTAAACAATATAATAGTTTTCTTTATGTTGAGTAAATGTTTTAATATTTAAGTTAATAGACTCAAAAAATATATAAATCAAATAAAACATTATTACAATCTTTGTTATTTAAATGTTTAGTATTAATAAAAACTTTATTAATTACTATTTTCAAAGTTTAACATATTAAAATTTTCTTATTTTTTATAAATTTGAATTTTAATAAATAAAAAATATATTACATATTCTTAACAAAAAGCTGATCTGCTTTTGATAAATTTTAGCTTATTGGAATTGTTATCAATATTAGTTTTTGATAGCCTACTTGCCTAAAATTTCATATTTTATTAATAAAAAGAATTTAGTATAAATCATTAAAGTACTTAAAATTAATATTAATAATTGCATATTAAATTTTATATAATATACTTTATAATTTGAGAAATAAATTAAATATTAAGTCAATTAATTTATAACATTTATGATTAATGAGTTATAAGCTTTTATAACTAACTTTACTTATATTTTTTTTGAAAGCAATTATATAATAATAATTTAAATATTTAATTATAATTAAATAAAAAATAATTTGTTTATTTAATGATTACAAACTATTATATGTTATATAATAACTACTTTATATATTGTATTGCTCATTAAATTCATTAAATAAATATTTATAAAATATGAATATAAATAAATTTTAATACATAAAAATTATAACAAATTTTTAATTTTTTTAAAATATTAAGAATTGTTAAATAAAATTATATATATATATATTTTTAAAAATAAAAATATTTATTTATTATCTGCAATAATTAAATCCTCTATAAATTTAAAAAAAAATAAACATAATAAAATAGAAATTATTAAAAAATTTTAATTTATAATATAAATATATAATTACCAATACTTTGACTATTTTTTGTTATCGTTATGTTTATAATATTTTGACTTAAAATTTCATTCAATCTTTCAATATAATCAAGTAAACAACTTGTATGATATGCTTTTGAATGAGGTTTAACTATAATTTTATCACTAACTATATTATTATTTTGTATTTTTTTTAATACTTTATCTGCTTTATAAAAATCTAAAATATCATTTTTTAATTCTTTTTCAAAATCTTTAGAAGTAATATTTTTTTTCCAATTTTTAATAATCTTTTTAATTTGTGATGCAGTTGGTCTTTTTAATAGATCCATATCCCAACATTTTTTCATTAAATTTATATAACATTGTGGAATATTTTTAATAATTTTAGGATGTTTACCTTTGCAAACATCTAAGCTAAGTTGAAAATCATAAGCTTAACTATAAAATGGAGAACTTCAAGATATAAATTCCCACATAATTATAGAAAAACCATATATATCACTAGCTAAAGTATAAGGATTACCTCTTAAAACTTCAGATGCTACAAATGGTAAAACACTATAAATATCTTTATTTTTAAACGATTGAAAATATTCTATAGGTTTACATAATCCTAAATTACTAATAGATAAAATATTATTTTCTAAGTTTAAAATATTGCCATGATGAAAATCACAATGAATAAAACTTTTTTGATGTATTTCATTAAGTCCACTAATAATATTATATAATTGTAATAATTTAATAATCCATTTATCTTTAACTATATTTAATAAATTTTTTCTTAAATTACTTTTTTTTGCATATTTCATTATTATCATATAATTTAATGTATTTGGATCTTGAGTAAATCCATATAATTGAATAAGATTTTCATCTGAATATTTTTTTAATTGACTAAAACATTCATAATGATGTTTTTAAAATAATAAAAATTTGTTTAAAATTTATTATTTAAAATTAAAATAATCATTAATTTTATATTTCATTTAAAAATTCTTCATTTAAATTAGATGACTTTTCAAGACATTTAAGAGATACTTCTATTTTTTCATTTCTAATCCAATTTTTATTATTATATGAATAAGATTTAATGAATCCATCTAACCAAATAGCTTTATATTCCTTCTTTATCAAGAAATTCAATATTTAATAATTTATTATAAAGATTTCATTCTAATATTTGCCTTAAATTTTTAGCATTCTGTTGAATTTCTTGAATAAATTTATCAATAAATTTATTTCTACTAGTCCAATTAGTAAATTTTTGTTAAAACAATTTAGAATAACATTCTTTACACCATTTATATCCAGAATATTTTGTATTACAAATTGAACATATACCTTTTTTTCAAATAAATATTTTATGTTATTAGTAATATTATTACAATTTTATAAAAACTTTAAAATAAAGTTTATTAAATTTAATTATAATTAATAAATTTTACAAATTTATAGCATATTTTTAAAAATAAAATTTTTTATATATTAAAGTAAAATTACAAATAATAAATAAAATTAACTTACTATTTATTATATTATTAATCATTAATTATTTTTTAAATAAAAAATTTAGTTGAGTTTAAATTATAGTAAAAAGTATCATTAAATACTAATAATCAATAAAAATAACTTATCAGCTAATGATAATATTTTTTAATTAAAAATTTAGTTGAGTTAAATTACAGTAAAAAGTATAATTAAATACTGATAATCAATAAAAATAACTTACTTCCTTTAGTATTTTTTGATTTTTAAATAAAAAATTTAGTTGAGTTTAAATTACAGTAAAAAGTATAATTAAATACTAATAATCAATAAAAATAAC